TTTCTCATTTACCTGAGTACGTTGCTTGGAGATTGCAGAATTTAGAATCTAGCATACTCACCCTGTTTTGTTGGTGGATAGCTCTGTTTTGGTGTGAGTCAACGGCACCACTCGGATGTATGATAGATCCCACAATGTTCAACTGCCAGGACTGAGGTTGATAATAATCAGTTCAAGAGACCAAATTCATAGAGTTTAGTACTGCCTACTACATCCCAAACTGAAGTGTGAAAGAACAATTTTGTCAGTATTTTCCTTTGTGAGTGAACAAAAGCATATGCACCTCACCTGTTGAGGTGAATGAGGGAAAATGATGAACATGTAAGGGGCAGTGTGTATCAGTCAAAAATGGTACAGTAAAAAAATAAAAACCAATTATCCCACACCACTACTCACAAGTAACTGTGAGTCAAACTTAAAGTATCATAATAACCAAATACGGACTCGACCTATCTGGGATCGACTTCTATCCCTCGGATTACAAATACAATAATGAATTAAGAGGTAGCATAAATAATGACAGATACAAATAACTCATGGAATCTGAATAGTGAAGTGCTTGTTTAAGAAGTTCGATGTTAGAAATGAGATTATCTGGTTGTTGCTGCTTCTAAAAGGTGGCAATGGTCGCGCAGAAGGAAAGCTTGGAGCCCAAGTGAAAGAACGATTTCAATGATCAGCTACTAGCTATTTACTAAGCTAAACGTGATGAACCTTTTGAAAAACATTGTTCTGTAGCCTATATTCTAGCGTATTTCTTGCACTGTAATATTTGATAGGGAATAATGGAAATTTATTTACCGAAATACGATTCATTACTGTGTGAGTATTCAAGCAATCATGTCGAGCAAATCAAAATGGTCATCTTTTTTCAGACTGAATTTAGGTGAATTTGAAGTTCGGTGAATGGTGCACAGGCCACTGCTGAAATGACTGCTGCTTTAACACAGAGCGTTCGGAGCACGCATTGAATCACACTTATTAGTTTGAGTTACTCTTGAAAAAATAATTGTCATAATTCTCCAAGGTAATTCAACAACACTTTCCAGACAAATTCGCTCAGATTTTGAATTTCTGATTAAATGACAGTTTTGAGGGACTTATCTTCAGAATCTTTTTAATCCTTGAAGAACTTTTTATCAAACAAATAGCCGTTATGTTTTGTATGTCTGGATTTTAATGTCTTTCCCTACATAGGCCACACATTTCACAGTGTATGGAGAGTTCATCAGAACGTAAGACGAAACACGTTTGAGAAGAAGGGCACATTCTATCGTGTCCAAACTGAATCGTGTGTCTCCTTTTCTTTGGTTGGATTCTTTAAAAACGATAGATTTGTATATGAAATACATATTACGTGACTGCATATTCTCAGTTTATGGTTTACGCTTGAGAGTTTTCAAATCTACCTTTAAGCTAGTTAGCTTTTAGTGATTAGTTTCTATCAAATCAACAATGAGAATGATTCTTCTGGTGTGGTTTGCTATTTTGTGTTGCATATATGTGTCAAATATTGTGATTGTTCTAATTGCGTTGAACCTAATAAACGGGAACATAATAAAAAATATGTAAAATATGAAATTGAATAAGAGGTTACCATTCCCATGTGGCGAATGGGAAACCATACAGATCGAGCATACATAAAATTTACTTCCCATTGTTGTTATTGATCGGCATTATTTCTGAAAAGCGAATGCATGATGCTGACTTTAAGTGTCAAGAGTACTGTAAAACTGTTCTGTCATTAGTATAGCTTACGAAATGTACGTGCCCACCGATTTCATGGTGAATCCTATGTAAATGCAGTATTTTTTTGAGGCTCATCAGCAATGACTACGTCTCAAAAATCAGTGTTTCACAGTCCAAACCAACTATTCTAAACACGTTTTTGAATTCGTCTCACTGCAGGCATGAAACAGATTGGCATCTATATGACAATAATGCATTTGAGACAATGTTATGATTGCACAAGCACGGTTAATATTCTTTTCATTCATTATTTTGGAGTCAAAAGTTCTAGTGTTGAAAGCTTCCACAAATGCGTCCAATGAGTGGACAAGATATTCGTCCAGTCAGATATTTCCTTTATTTCTTGCACATGTTTTCTCAGAGCCCGATGAATTTCGATGGTGATTTTTTTCATTTTTACTTCATTTTATTGAATGCACAATGATAAAATTTTTAGGAAGGAAGAAGCGGCAATCAAAGGGCTGCCATACAATACACAAATGGGGAAATTCTGGCGGTGGTGGTGCAATTCGAACACTCGTCCTCCGAGGTGGTAATTTGTTGACGTTATCACCGGGCCACCACCGGGCCACCGCTGCCCATTCGGTTTTTTACAGGCACCAGGCATTGTTGATGAAGTTTAGCATGGGTTTCACTCCTTTTCAGATCGTTAATTCCCCACTATTTGAATGCATTTTTAAATGTGGTTGAATTGTTTGTGACAGGGACACAAAAGGTACGCACTGCTGACGAGTCTCAAACAGGATGAAACAGTTGTCCAGTGCCATTTGTCAGTTATCACAAACATTTCCGCTCATTGAAATTCCACCACATGGGTCGCAAGGTAATGTTTCAATAATTATAGGCCGCAGAACAGTCTTTGAAAAGAGATTTTTATCATGCAATGCGTTTAGCTGATCTGACTGATAACTTTAATATTCACTTGCCAAAAGTGTTACAAAAGGGATGGCAACAAATATAATTGCACCAAATGATTAACACAATACTTGTGCGTGAGCAACTAAATAAAATCCTACAGTTTCCCTGTCGAACAGGGCAGCCAAAGCAATCTGTTTTGTCAGTCATTTCTACTTAAAAAGATAGATGAGGAGAAGCGAAAAGGTGATCGATCTGTTTTTTCAATAAAAATCGTTAATAATCAACGAGAAAATGTTTGCCGCTGGCTTTTTCACTCGACATTTTTCACTTCCTTTTCCCTTTCTTTGTAATCTACGAGTTCGATAAAAACTAGGAAATTACCAGATTTTTCAGATAAGCGGGTGCGGTAAAATTTGTGCTGGTTAGTTCATGCACTTCTGTGTCACTATCACCTAAGATACAGGTTTTAGCTATAAACGGTTGTAAACATTTACTTTTGGTCGTTTCTCTTTGTAAAAGAGCTCTCAATGGCATGAATTTAACAACTAATATGACGAAATTTATTTTTAGATTATAAATAAACAAATATTTTTACATCCGTTTATTTTGTTGCGTATAAAATGTACAATCAAATTTCAGGAAGGGAGTTGAGGTCATACAAAACCTGCTTGGGGGAAATACAGAAATGGGCAAGATGAGCGACAGTTGCCGGATGAGAATTCTAGGTTGTTATTTGTTGACCTCAAACAGTCAAACACCGCTATCCAACATATAGCGAAACGTGGTAAGCCTGGTCGGTTGTTCTAAAACAGAAGGACATTTGCGTTTTTGACAACGTAATTTAAGTCAAACTAAGCTTCATACATCCGAATCGTGAATTTTCAGCGATATTCACGGGACTACAGTGGAAGTGGGGAGAGATGTGTACGCAAAAGAGTGCGAATAGGGTAAACATAAACGGCAGCGCATTACGAGCACGGAGACGATAGTGGTAGTTAAAAAAATGAATAACTCAACTAACTCACGAGAGGTTCCACCAGACCTGTGATGATTGGTGTCCGGTACATTCAAAGCGGGTAGGAAAAGAGACAGGTAAAATATAATGGGGAACAGTGTGGGTAATGAAGAATTTGAAAATTACATTTGGGGAAACAGCAAGCCACCTAAGCCTGAAAGCGTAAACGAAAAGCTGAAAAACCTTATTTTAAATGTTCTCTGCATGGCTGGTCCGTGGGAGATTGTGGGGTAGAACGACTCTGAGGGTTCAGCAGTCAGAGTTGGGAATGCTTAACTGTTAAGAATAAGGTCATGTAAATTATTACAATAAGTTTGATAACGGGAGCCGTATTTGAGGTTCAAAGAAACATAAACATACTTGGTAACATGAGGCATAAGCGAGCGAGGCAGATACCAACTAAAAACGTCGTTCATACAGCGTTAAAGTTCGTTGAAAGATACCTCGTTATTGGACGGGTACCCACTCACCCCATCATCCGCATATTTACAGGCAATCAAATTTGGTATGGATTGGCAAGTGGCTTTTGTAAAGGGAAAAAGGAATGGAGACAAAGTGGCACCGCGCGAGACACCGGATTTAACATAAGNACATAAGAAGGGAATACAGTTTTACCATTGCATGACATAAATTGCATCCTAAAAGAGAAGTAGTTGACAAGAATGCTTAACACGTCGGATCATAGGCCGCAGTCAGCAAGACGTTGAATGAGAATGCGACGGTCAAACGAATAAAAATGCAGGTATAATCAGGAAAAGTAAAGCGAACAGTTTCTATCTAAACCTAAAGTCACCCAACGAACAAAGTACGTTACGGCGTGAAAAGAAGAAAGTTACTATTTATAAGCAAACTTAAGAGGATTGAGAACANGAGAACATCAGAGAGGGTAGTTAATCAGTTCAAGAGCACCCTTCGTAAGAATTTCAACAGAGCTTAGGTGCTTTGAAGAAACCTTCTTGGAAATTGGTCTTAGCTGAGTAGCCCTCCAGCAATTCGGGTTTATTCCGGAGTACATGCACACATTGAACGACTCGGCAGCGTGTGTTGCAGGGTGTACCACAGAGTTGTGTCAACGCCGACCACATTCTGCTACAGCTCTGGTTGCCCACAGTGCTCTTAAAATACACCCGATTCAAGGGCTGGATCTCTACCTTAATGAACCAAGCACGAATGAAACGCAATACAAGTGTGCAGTTTTGTGTAAATGATCATGAACTTTATATACCAAAATATTTTTCAGGTGTGGGAAATCTGATCTTGTGTTAACCAAAGTTTACGGTAATACATTTTTCATAGGAGTTTGGTTGTACTGGCTAATGCAGAATCAAAGGAAAACACACAATGCACGCAAGAAAACCGAACGAATCATTTCGGGATAATGTATCGTATTGGATGTGGATCCATTGCACCAGAAGCTTTGCAATTTTTGGCTTTACTAGAAAAGCGCTTCCCCAGTGGTCCTATTCGACTTGGCGATGTGGTCACTATTTCCTCCAGCCACTTGTTGTACAATTTTCAGGTAAGCATGAAATCCCTTATGTGATAAATGACAATCTTTTTTCCATCAGTTGATTTTCATACGGAACGAGATTTGAAAAATTTTCTTATAACTGCATTTTTCCCCGATTGAAATAATATTTAAGATAATCCCGCGATGTATAGCCTTGGGTCACTGCGAAACATGCACATCCCGGTGAAACAGAATTAAATAACCTACGAAACAAGTATTCTTATCAAACAGCTACATTCAGATGTATACCGGATGGTAATTCCCTATGGAAATCAGTGAAATTTGTTGCAATGGAACAAAAAGACGCATGCAGATACTTGTTTGAGAATGGTTTGGTGCGTATATAAGTTCTTGCAGAAAAACAACAGTCAAAAGGACCACTCTCAGCTGAACTGGTCAGAAACCAATATGAGACAGTGAACTCTATTCTGGTATGCATGATGTGCTTCGTTATTTTTAGTAACGCTCCCCGTCCTCCGAGTGGAGATTCCGGGAATGTTCCGTCATTTGAATTGATGTTCATCTTTCAAACCTGAAAAACACCTATTTCTACCATAATAACTCAATAAACCACACTTTCTTCGGGTAAAAAAGGAGATCTCAGCCGAAATTGCAATGCCTATTTTCCTTCTTTTGCGATCGAAGTGTTGAATTTCAAACACCATACACAAAAATTTGTTTACTTTTTGCCTTTTTCTTCATAAAAAAATTTTGAAGTCGAATTTCATTGCTAATGTGTTATTTGATTTGTAAACCTAAAAGCAATTAAAACAAGGGCTGCTTTCTGAGAAGTTGATGAGGTTATGATTATTTGAGCTTTGAAGTCCCTCAAAGTGAATCGATGTTGACGAACGGAAAATAAATAAGCAGCTAACTTAGCAGTTCCCATTTTGAATCAAAAAGAGGGACATTTATCTGTTTAGCTGGAACTTTTTGTGGACAGCAAAATCCGCAATTTTACTTTAAAAATGAACCATCTTTTAATCAAACTACTTTCTTTTGATGGGTACTTATGATCGGACATTGTTTGTAGATAACCAAATGGACCGTTGGTGATCTCGTAACACCTGAACCCGTTAAAAAACGCTCATCCAGATTGACTCGATCCTCAGAATCCACTGGTGAACCAGATCCACTTGTAGCTGAATTGACTGGTCTACTGGATGAAGGTTCAGGTCTTTTACCGAATTATCGATTCTCCAGTCCCGCGTCCAGTCCCATATTTTATCCTCCATTTGACGGGCTAACCAAGACTGCGCCAAGACTTCAACCAATTTCTCCGATCAAAATAACGGTGCATCAGATCACCAACGTGCAATTTCCACCGAAAACATTCGAGAAGTTTGATGATGTTATTAATAACAATTTGGTGGTTACACTCTATCGGCCGGATCGAGGTAACGTGAGTGAATTGGAAATTCGATCTCCAAATACACCCGTGGAACGCTTCGGTGCCGTGATTCCGCGGGACACGAGAGAGTGGATTTCATTCGATCCAAAAAGTAAGATTGTTCGATTACGGCCACTCCCGCAACATGTGGGCAATCATCAGATGATATTATGTGCCCTCGCTCCAAATCGGCCAAGAGCCTGTGGTAAGTCTGATGTCGGTTTTGTATCCAGCATTATGTACGCATTTACATCAAATGTAATAGGAAAGAGTAGGCCTATACGATGTGAACTGGTGAGAAGGGAAAATATCACTAAGAATGTAAAGGCTTATTGACATTGATGGTCTGTGTTAAAAATTAGGGTAGTCCTCTTTTGGAACATTTGTACTTCGTCATCTAAAGTTGCAGATCGTATGGAATAGAAGCCCCCGGACACAAGTTAGATTCCTTTGAGCAGTATTGTCATTGTATAACTCGTGTGGTATCTGTTTTCTGTAGTTATCAACATAAATCCTAGTGAAAATCAACCGATTCTAATTAAAACACATTATTTATACATGCAGTAAAAGTTCCACTATTTCCAAAAATTGAGAACTCAAATCTGCTAGAGCAGTTCTCGCAGGTGTATGTGTGAGCGCATACACTTGCACCTGTATTTTTCAAAACAATGAGTGGATCGGATTTTAGTGAACCGCGGTCATTTAGCTTCTATTCAAGTTGGTGCATGCATCTCAGTTGACCTCCAGTCACGTACGGTTAAAACCAAGAAACGCCACTTAAATCCTTCCGATTTGGACTGCGTGCAAAATAGTAGACTGCGGTTAATCACACCATCGGTATGCGAAAGTTTTCAAAACGCTCGTTTTATATCGAGATTATTCTCGTTGCAGAAATTAACCATTATAACTTAGCGTAACTGAGGGAGTTGGATTACTAATAAATGTCTCATGAACAATCCATTTAACCTGTACATTTAGGACTTCACCAATTTAACTATTTTCTTAAACAACCATGTTGGTGATATAGCGAACATCTACTGAATTTTATAGCAGTATCACTTTTTTCAGAATCCAACCGCATTTGATATTGTTATTAGGAACTTGCAATCAGATTTGAGATCTGATCAATTGTTCAATTGATTTATATACGTCCGAAGTTAGATGTGGGTAATTTAATACATGAGCCAAACCACACCACTGCCTAGGCCACTGTTGCTTCCATTGTGGATGACTTTCCTTGCAAAAATGAATGTTTAATCACAGTGTGTTAACGTTGCTTTCACCAAAAGAATTTAAGGTTCAATTCCTCCGTCTCAGTGCATATCGTTGTTTTCTGCATTCACTGTTTTTAAGAAACAACTGCAGATGTCCGGAGAAGATATCTGCGTTTGAAGTGGCCGCCTAACAAAACTTTAGTCAAAATTAGTGTGTTATAGGCAATGCCGTATAAGAGTTTAGTTCCGTTCTTCATTAATCTATTACTTAGGTTGAACGAGACAGGTAACTTAAGTCTCCAGATTTCATGACTTGATAAACTAGTTAATGTTTAGGTCAATCAGTTGAATTATTGGATGCAATTTACTAATTAACCGTGAATTGAGGTTGAGCATCCTTTAAGTGGGCTTTTGTTTCAAATGCTGTTATTGTAAACGACAGTTTTCTTCTGTTCCTGCATCAGACTCTCCTGCAGTGTATGAATGATTGAGTGATTGAAACTTAGCTGTTTGTTGACTACAATTGTTGATGATAAGATTTCTCATCGCTGCTGGATTTCTTGAAACTGCTTTGAACATAACTCTTAAACATGTATCAATTTTAAATGGCTTCTGAAGTAGATTTTACAAAGTTAGAAATGGATTATTAGCTTACTGTAAATAAATCGTCAGCTTTTCGCATTCAGTTGGACCAAAACTATCGCTCAATCAATGTCTGTGACTAAAGGTAATATACAAGTATTGCATAAATTTGAACAACTTCTGTTTTTGCGTATTCCCAGAGGAAATGACCGCGTTGAACATCTGTGTGCATACTATTCCAAGAATGGTTGCATATTTCTTCAATGATTTTGTGCTGAAAAGACAAAGAAAAAGTGCATATGATATCTCTTTTCTCATTTTATAAGTGGACCGGGAAACAGACAACCTCAAATGCAGTTTAGAGGGTGATTGATTGACGTCTGAGGTAAATGTTTTTGAGAAGGGTTTCACTACTTGTTACAAAAGTGAACAGATGTTCGTTTGTTAAACTCAGTTTATGTGATTGACGTTGTTCGTGATTCGGTCTGAGATCTGTGGATCATGGAAAGTGGATAGTTTGTTGATGAGTTACGGAAAAACAGGTTTATATAGCGACGGCATCAATTCTGTTTATTCCGTAACCTTCCGACCGCATGAGATCCAAAAACTATTTTCAGTGTTTAACCAGAATATTCGATGAAGAAAATAATCACATCTACATCTTGGCCTTTGGGATCCTAAAATAATTTGAGATCAGTGGTGGACAACTGTCATACATAGCGTGAGGTTTTGCATACAAATTTTCTGATCTACTTCTCTGAACTCATTTCGAAATCATTGCACAGCACAGTATTTTTACCTTCGTCTTTTCAATTCGGTTTTTGAGGAAGTAGTAGTGAATTCTTTTTCGAAACAATCTTTTAACCTGATCCATCGTGACAAATTCGATATGTTGTGGTGACCTATGTCATCCAGTCCAATTTACTAAACTAAAGTTTGAAGATACAATACGACCTTATAATATTTTATGTTTTTGGTGTGCTAGGAGAGCATAGTCTTTCAGCGGATAAAAGAAGTAACAGCAGTCTAAGCGGCACCTGAATTCTATCATTTGGGTTACCTCGCTCTGGATTTGCCTCCCTCAGAAGTACCTCAGCTAGATTTGAGAGTAGTTGGAATTTTTACAATGTCTTACAACAACATCTGCACCCAACATTAGAAGTACCCCGATTTCGGGTCAGATGTGAAGCCGTGGATTATTCCCTTCGAAGCAAGAACACAGTATGTTATTACAGGAGTTATATATATATATATATTTCAGCACACTGAGCAGTGATTTAATAGCTTACTTCGAAGCCCAATTAATGAGTTCATGGTGCCAAATTATTTCCTATGAACAGAGAATGGCATTCCGGCAGAAAAGGTATGTAAACCATCTGAACTGTTTCATCACGCTAATCCTAGTGAGGGCTAGCGTTATTTTGTAGAAAAAAAAGAATCCTGAATGTTCCAGTATGGCTGTTAAAATTATTGTTAACAGATATGGGGATCGGGTTAATGTGTAAACAGAAAGGATTGTCACTTTCGCTCATGTTTGTTTTAGGATGGCGTCTCAACTGTATCGAAATCAATACACGTTGTAAGCGTGAAACAGTCACAATTTCATACTAGTAATAATTAACTTCTAATCATGTCATTCGCAAAAAGATCAGAACGATATCCAGAAATTGGGATGGAACGGACTGAAATCATTGAAACAATAAATAAAGAAGTACAGCTAAGGGGAAGCGTTCATACTACCGACCTATAAGATGACGAGCCACCTATAATGGTTGATTAACACCGCCAACGAGATGGTCAGGTTGTCAGATTAAAGACAAATATATCACAACGCATCAGTGACTGTATTTATACAAGATATTTGAGATGTGAATCACATAAATTTTTAATACAACTTTGATATACATATTTGTATATGTGTATAATGGTCATTATTATTATTATGTTCATCGCCCCCAGTCTCAAACGACTAAGAACGAAGAATTGTTTACCTTTAACAGAACCATTCTACGTCAACGTTCGTCGACCTGCACCATTCAGGAAAAACTTTATTCTTCGAATACCACCTGGTGAGTTTATTTAGCAATTTATCGCAATAATTTTTCACCTGTGTGCGATTCTTAGACTGCTGATCATTTTGCTCCGCATTTCAAATATCACTGTTTTCCTTAATAAATTTCATTTGCTTTTTTTTAGACCTTACTGGAGCTTCCGTTTGTTCCTATCCTTTTACTAAACAAATTGATTGGAGTGTAGCAATTATTGAATAGCTTCTTAGTATTCCAGTGGCAGCAGTGACTGTTCCCTCTTTGTTACATCCGACACTCTGCCCACAAACTGTTGATTTGGGAAATGAATAGAGCTTACCAGTGAAATCATCTGTCGGCGACTGACAGCCAGAATGCACAGTGCTATTGTTGTCAGATACTACTCACTTATGAGTAGTAGGTGACATAGTTGGTGATTACTTTCAACGATCAAAAAATAAGAAGACCACCAAGTGCGAATTGCTGTATCTCAGAGAATAACTATCGATTCCTACGTGCATTACCCGTCCTGCGACCAGGTATTGCGACGGTATGCTTCTGATGAGATTTTCTGTGTTAGGTATGCCAAATTACTGATGTTCCATATGGGATCCTCACTAAACAACTGTCCTCGACCGAGCACCGCCTTTTGAAATTATAACACTATTAACACCACATACAGGATTGTTCGAAAGGACGTAACTCACACAATCTCATAAATGTTATGGGTAAATAGAAAGCTTAGTAATGTAAAGAGCACACAGATCGTGGGTTGAAAAAAAACAAGGTTTTGTGAAGTTCTTTCAACCTGGCTGAATTATATCTGCAGTGCTAATCTACTAACCCAACTGAAATCAAACCCGAGGAATTAACGGGTAAAACGCATACTTGCCACTCACCTTGGTAACGGCCAGCTGATATGACCGTTTTTCGTTTGTCCAGAAGTGATATAGGATCAATCAACTTTGAAAGTTAGTAGCGGACAGCAAAACGCACTCGCTTCAGCAATAGCCACAAAAGTCA